GTGAAGGGGGGGAGAAGTTAGAGCGTTAGAGGGTATGATCTCTTTTTCTTTTCTTTTGTATTCTATTTTTTCTTTGTGAAGAGTTTTATTTTTATTTTTTTGATTTTGATTTTGGTCGGTTGGTTTTGCTTTTGTATATATAAAGGGTTTCTTATATTCCTTCTTTTTTCTTTTTCTCAGGAGTTTGAAATTTGCATTAGAACAGCATTATTCACTCTTGCATTGCATTGCATTACTACATTTATCCACCCTCGCTTTCTGGAGAGAAAATGCAATTAAGAACTCTTTTGAATATGCATATATCTATAGATATGTATATACATAAATGAACAAATCTCATAAAGAAATGATGAACACATGATAAGAAAAAAAAGGGAATAATTTATCTCTCTCTCTCTCTCTCTCTCTCTCTCTCCCTCCCTGACCCTTGAAGAACTACGACAATGAAATGACCATTATTAATTACATCAGCTGGCGTGAAGGTAGTTAGTTAGCTTTATTTATTATTCCCTAAATACCCCCTTTTCTATACCCCTTTGTTTGTACGTACACTTGCACTTGCACTTGCACTTGCACCTGCACCTGCACTTGGAACAGAGGACCGCTTCCGCTTTAAGCGGACGATTTGGAGAATGCTGGCTGGGTTCAGCACACTGCATCTATCTATTAGACTGCGGGAGTATATAGCGGACAGTAGACTGAGATGCCATATATATTATTTATATATGTACTGCTACTTTAATCGAAGGACGACGAGCTTAGATGAAGCGTTGATTGCTACTTACTATGAGTGGATGGGATGGGGAGAAGTCCAAATGGACAATCGAAGATAAGAGCGGGCAAGCGCGTGCGAAATGTGGAAGCAAAGCTGGAAGCAAAGCGTGGAACGAATAAAAGGGAGAGGAGGGAAAGGAAAGGAAAGGAAAGGAAAGGAAAGGAAAGTAGTTTGCGAAGACCCTCAGATTAGCTCTCAGGTTCTCACAGATTTCCATGCGAGTAAAACAACAATGAAGCAAAAAAGGTCATTTTGCATCATGGTTTCGCCGGATATCCTGCAACTTTGCCGATGTTTGAAAGACATCACCACTTGTCAATCTCGTCATTGGGCCTTCGACTTTAGAGAGGTTTAGAGAGTGTTGGTTTTGGGAGGAGTTTTTTTTTTTTTTTTTTTGGTAGTTTTCAAAACGCCGCCCCGCAAAGGTGGAAATGGCGAAGTCCAGAGTCTTGCTATTTTGCCCTCAGTCCACTGCCCACATATATAATCCACCAGCTCAACTGTGGGGCTTCGCCTTTCTCTCCATTGGGACTTAGCGTGCATGCCCGATATTTTCAGACGGCAGCGAGTACTTATGCAATCTCTTTGACGTCAGCACCGTTATCCACAGACCTTTTCCATGTCAGTTGGCTGACTTGGGGTCTGGTGGGTCGGCCTTAGATCACATACAAAGTTTACCGAACCCATGTGCATAGTGTACATATGCCTGTATCGCATCCACATTGCGGCTTCGTGAGTCCGTTAGACTCGCGGCCATGAGCAAGTTCGGGTACAAAGTAGATTCCAAGACACCTTTTCTAATGCGAGTGAGAAGTCCATTTGTGCGAACTGCTGCAGAGCATGGTATTCCAAATGTTCAAGCCACTGCCACCTGGACGAAGTCCGCGATGGTGTCCTCGGGGTTGCCAATAACTCTGGATGTACAATGACTTATTTGTAGAAAGTAACCGGGTAATGTCCGGGATGGTACTTGACTCAAACTCTGTCTTGATCAAGGGATGGGGCCAGCGCCGAAAGAAGTCTTTCGAGTCACGCTGCAAACTGGCTTGCAATTTAATGCATTGCTGCCGAAAGAGGAACGAGCGAGCAACCAGAATAGAACCCGCATCAATCTTGAATTTCGTTTCTGGGCACGTTACAACTCACAAGGTCCAGAGTGACCAAGTAGTTCACGTTTCCGAGTCTGGCGTTGTGCAAGACCTCACAGAATCGATGACCACACTAAATCGAGGGGGGACAGAGACCTCGTGCGTACCTGTCATGACTTGACTCAACGAGGTGCGAATCCAATTCAAACACTGCAGGATTTCAAACGTTAGTTGAGGATATCACACATTCAAACGTGTACTGGAAATGGCCCGTCTCTGTATCAGATTGAAAACTACAATAAAGTGAATACGCCTCACAGGCAATGCTCAACGTCGTTACCTTGGTGGGGCAAACATACGGAGCACAGGATGGTATCCATCCTTCCTCAGAGTACGCAATTTGTTTGTCATCAGGGTGGTTCGGGGATCATTGGATGTCTGCAATGTTTTGTTTTAAAGCACAGAGACGTACCTCTTTGTCAAACCCGTTGCCCAGAACACCTCCCCACGGTATTAAAATCAACCTCAACTGTGTCGCTTGGGTGGGGAAGACCAAGGGCAAGTCGACGTAGTCATTTGCTAAGCAAGCGAAGCTGAGAAAGGTAAGCAGCCAGATAGCTAAGGGTATTGGAAAAAAGCAAAACATATGTCTCTAAGATCTCTGTTCTTTTATCAATCACTGATAGGCTGCCTTATCATGCTTCTTCCACCTAAGTCGTATACACAACTGAGGGGATGAACACATCGCTGTTTACGCGCCAAGCAGCACTGCTCATGAAGCTCAAGTGAGAGTCATCATCATTGAGACGCGTGAAACCAAGAAGAATGGGACAACTCACAGTCAGCAACTAAAATGCTTGTGAATAACAAGCACAACGGCGTTCCACTCACCTATCGCGGGTGGTTTGGAGTGGGATAGAGAGCATCGTCGAGAAGTTGAGGCTAGAGGTTAGTGTGAATATCACGTGATAAACCCGTAAATCACATGATAGGATGCCGTCAGGCCTAGGCTCAAGCTTAAGCTTGGCCTCTTGGACAGGACTTGCTTTGTGTTTTAACAGTTACAATTCAAAATGAGTGCTCTATTGACCGCCAGCGATGGATTATCGGTTTGATAAACCACAGTTGGTACAAGGTTGCCATCGCGGAGAAGACTACATACAAGGATTTTTCTCAGAGGACGAGCGGGAAGATTTTAACAGGACAAAAGGGATAATCCCGGAAAAACTGGAAACAATGTCAGGCTGGATTCAAAGGCAGATACACTCTCCCTATGTGCAGTTGGCAGGTGTTGCAGTTCTGTCCGGTGCAGCTGTTGCTGGTGCCATTTTTGGATATCAGTCCATGAAGAGACAAGCAGCAGTACAGAAATTGAAAGCGTCCATTCCGGAACTTGACGAGCAGTATACAACACAGAAGGTGTGATTCCCACAATGCAGAAGTTGATATGAGAATACCTCTTCTGCTTCAATTACTACTCTTATGTCTAGTATATCGGTGTGCGACACCAGGCTGACTGGTCTAAGTTGAAGCTCACAGGATTCGGACTAGCAACGCCGCCGAACCCTAGTAAAGAAGATGAACGAGGTACTACTCTTGCTCGAAGAGCCCAAGCAGGAGACTATGATGATGGTACGCTTTTTTTCCTCTTTGGTACATACACATACACAGATCGAGTGCTAATCTTACTTTTTGTCGCAAATACAGATTTAATCCTAGAACAACTTGCTCGAAATCGCGTCTTCCTTACCGAAGATGGATTAGCAAAACTTCGTTCCTCCTTCGTAATAATTGTGGGATGTGGTGGCGTCGGCTCTCATGCTGCCGCAGCCCTGGCGCGCTCTGGAGTGTCCCAGATCCGTTTGATAGACTTTGATCAGGTCACCCTTTCGTCATTAAATCGACATGCTGTTGCAACTCTTTCAGATGTGGGCACGCCAAAAGTCCAATGCATGCGAAAGAGGCTGGAGCAAATAGTGCCTTGGGTCCGGTTTGACTGCCGGGATGAACTGTATAGCCAAGCCGCCGCGGATACTTTACTAGGCCCGTGGAACATGCAAGGTGACAAGGTGACGTGGAAGCCAGACTATGTTCTGGACTGTATTGATAACATTTCGTCCAAGGTCTCCCTCCTTCACTACTGCCATTCCCACAACATCCCCGTCATTTCTTCCATGGGCGCAGGATGTAAATCCGACCCCACTCGCATCGCAATAGGCGATATCTCCTTGAGCGCCGAGGATCCTCTCTCCAGAAGTACGCGGCGTCGATTGAAGACACTTGGGGTAAGCTCAGGAATTCCAGTGGTTTTCTCTACCGAAAAGCCCGGTCCTGGAAAGGCTGCCTTACTGCCTCTGGCTGAGGAAGAGTTTGCGAAAGGGGAGGTTGGCGAACTCGGTGTTCTCCCCGATTTTCGGGTGCGAATACTCCCCGTCGTCGGCACGATGCCAGCTGTATTTGGATATACCCTCGCCAACCATGTTATTTGTGAAATATCTGGATATCCCAACGAGTACAACGCGGGTGCCAAAGGCCGAGAAAAGATGTATGACAGCATCTTGGGAGCACTGCAGGGGATGGAGGAACGCATAGCGAAATTCGAATCTGGCCAAGATCCTGTCGGACTACGCATACCCATTAACAAAGATGATGTCGCCTACTTGATTGAGGAAGTGTGGAGAGGAAAAAGCGTCGTCACCGGCTTGGCTACACGGCTGATGTTGGTGCGTTGGAAGCAGCCGGAGCATGGATTTGGTCCTGATCCGCTCTGGGAGCAGGAAGGGCAAAGGGGAGCGCGACTTGACCTGAAAGAACTGGTTTGCATGACCAAGGAGGAAGCGCTGCGACATGAACGGGAAGTTCTCAAAGGTGGTAAGGCTGTCGAGGACTTATATGATGAGAAAGTAATTCGGAAAGTCGAGGAGCGGATACGCGAGCAAGAGGTTTACGAAAGATATAGATAAATTGAGCAGATCGATGGATGACCGATTGGAATAAAATATGATGGAAAATTTTGAACTAGCTCCTTTTGCGTTTTGCGCATGAAGTACATGTACTGTACAATGAATCTAAGTTATTGTGTGGGACCTGTCACTCCCCATGCTATCCAAACTCACATTTGGCCAGTGCTTGATGTGAGTTATGTACCAACTTCCGGGCATTGTTTTTTGAGGTGTTCACATCTCCAGCGATGAGTTCCCGTGCGCAAGGACGTCTATTCGGCACCAGCACAATTAGCTTTGTTAAGTCAGGGGTGGGATATTGACATGTCGGAGTGAGAAAGTTAAATACCCCTTTCCCCACTCAATTCCAAGCCAGGAGTTGTAACCGAATGTGGTTACGAAGTCTAATCCGTCACCCATATCACCACCAACTGCCACTGTAAGTTTCGGGAGGGCGAGAGCTCGGATTAGGCGTTAGTGATGAGGATTGCATTACTTCAGAGCAGGTCTGTGAGGTATTTATGAAGAAGTACTCTGTAAATAAAATAAACAAAGATATTCAAAAAACTCAAAATTCAAAAACCAAACCCACACTGTGTCGAAAATGGTAGCTTTAAGGTTAAGGAAAGGTTCTATGGTTTTGAGAATGTTTAGTTCTCGCCAGCAGCGCCGACAGCACCGCCATGTTCGATTGTAACTATGGCCCAGGACGCACGACGTAGCAGGGCGTCGATCACTAGCGAACATACTGTACACCCGAAAGGCGTTGATCGTGGATCCAGAACGCTGATCAAGCAGATGCGCTTGTGTCCAGCTCGGACAGGAGGTGCATTGTCTGCTTGAAGTTACTCATCCACTCTCCTCGAATCACTTCCCAGACAATGATTCTTGCTCGGAGGATAAGATATCTCTTTTGCCTCACCATCTCTCCGGTTACTCGATGATAGCTAACAAGGGGGAGAAGTGGCGTCTAGCCATGACACGTGATGTCTCCCTATGACCTCGGGAGGCTCCAGCTAACGGCTCAAAACTCTCCTTCAGATATAGGTCAAAATCTATCCACCGACCTGGCCTGAAGCCCGTTGATAAGAGTAATTCCAGCTATACCGGCATACTAGACGAGGAAAAGCCCTTCGCGCTCGCGGAAACCCCATTGCCAGAGGAGTCTCCTTGGCGCGAAGCTTTGAGCCCTGGCAGGAGTATCGGCTTCCAAAACATTGCTGGGCCTATGCCTTCCACCTCCTACCCGCGACCGTCCCAGCGGCCCCTCATCGATTATGTCACAAATGTCTGGGTGATCGTAGAACAAAAATACAGCAAGTTGGGGGCGAATTCGAAGGCTGGCGGCTCTAACTACTGTCCTGCGAGCATGAAAGACCTCCTCATCCTCGCCAGTGCGCCTCGACTCCGTCGTTACATCATCGTGTATCTCATTCTGCTGTGGATATGTCTGGGTAGTTGGATTAAGCTGGTTTCTCCTCGCTTAAGGGAGCATAATGACCTGTTAAGGGCACTAGACCCGAATTTTGGAGATGGTCTTAGGGGTTGGTTTGGTTTGAATTCCATGCCCAAATTCAACGACCTCGTATATCTGAGATCGTTGGATCCTAAGTTGCTACCTGGCGAGAAAGAGCCTTCTGCGGATAGCCCGCACAAAAAGAGGCTTATTGTGATAGGCGATGTTCATGGCTGTTTAGATGAATGTGAGCTCCCAAAATCCTATATTGTGATCTACTTCCACAATAGTCGCCTGTGCATAAGGAAGTTTTGACGTGGTTCTAACGCTCGCCTTTTTGCCCTTCTATGCGTAGTGGAAACCCTTTTACAAAACGTCAATTTCGACCCCGGGCAAGGAGATCATTTGATATTCACAGGCGACCTGATAGCGAAGGGACCTAAGAGCACTGGAGTCGTTGATCTCGCTCGCAAATTCCATGCCTCCTGTGTCCGAGGAAACCATGAAGACCGTGTCCTTCTTACCCGCCGCCATATACAGGCTGAGGCTTCAACCAAAAGTGAACGTTCTCCTGCGGAAGAGCCAGACCAAATAGACAACGACATAGAACCTGCAAATACCGTACGAGCCCTTGCGAACGAATTGACTGATGAACAGGAAACCATGGCTGGACGCATGCCCTGTGATGTTGAAAGTAGGGTTTATAAAACACATGGGTAAGGTAGTGGTCGTGCATGGTGGCCTTGTTCCAGGCATTGACTTGGAAAGCCAAGATCCCTCCACCGTAATGAGTATGCGGACCATCGATATCTTTAGCCATGTTCCTAGCGCATCGTCCAAGGGTGTTTCTTGGACAAAGGTGCGTCTCAACCCCAACTCTCAAATTCTTTAGCTCACCTACTCTTCCTTCTATCTGTATTTCTTAACTTGCTACTATTTGTACGAAAATATTGACTGATGACTCTCTTCCCAGCTCTTCAATAAACACCAAAGCATGCTAGCTGTATCTCGACAATCCGCACCGCTGGGAGAAAGGGCGCAGTTTCCTGCTGCAACAACTGTGCTATACGGTCATGATCCGCACCGCTCTCCTGTTTTGAAGAAGTATACCAAGGGTCTGGACACAGGTTGTGTCAAGGGCGGGAAGCTTTCCGCAATGGTCATCGGGGATGGCGGCACCAGCCACATCGTGAGTGTCAGGTGCAAAAACTATACGCAAAAGAGATAGCGAAGAGCTAAGCATTGCTTCGCGACTCTAATTCTTATACAGCTGATTTTTGCACTAATTCCCTTGCTCGTTGCGATTTAAATATTCCCAATACGCCTTTTGCCTTGCTTGAGCGTTTTGGTTTCGGGGATCCGTTCTTTACAAATTAATTTTATTTTCATTTATTTTGATTTTTGGAGGACAATTTATGTCGGGCACCCTCTTGTTTTGGTGGGGAATCCTATATGTTGGGTATTTTTCACAATATACATACCACGCATATATTTGCGCATGGAAATTTCTTCTTGTCTTTTCTTTTGGATTTTATATCTTTATATGTATATATTTACACTTGTATCATCATCCTGAGACATAGAGTTGTTGCTAACTAACATGTGGAGGACACTCATGTTCTTCTTCTCTTGGAGATGTCACGATTCCATTGCCCTGTTCTAAGGTCTTCTGGGCTAGTTATTTACGGCTTAGCCTTCACATCCATCCAGCTTAGACCTAGTTTCACGGTGCGCTTCACTATACTAATATATGGTACATAATGATAGTGTATTTTTGCCATTTTCTTTCTGTCCATGTTGTTCTTCTCTTTCTTTGATACTTAAAATCTGAATGATCCTGTGCTACGCAGTTTGGAGCTCCAGGTAGAGGATGAGCATAGAACCGAGTCGGGAGGATAGAACACCGTGTTAGCACAAGCATGTTTTCCCCCACCCGCAGCGGCGGGATAGTCAAAGTCGCCTTCTGGAGCGGCCTGGAGATCGTTCTGTCTCACTCCGTATTGGGTAAAGAATTTATGTCTTTTCTCATCATTCTTGGCCCTATTTTGTACTGTACTTGAGGATAACCCGCCATTTCCGAATGTTTTGAAGCTCTGTATGTTGCCGTGGTGCGCACCGACTGCTGGTGGGATTTATGCACAGTGCGCGAAAGCTATTAGCTACCAGGAACATTCATCGGCTTGCCTGCTGGAATAATGAATCATGGTACCTTCAGCGGAACAACCAGCTCCCGGGCGCCACAAAAGTCAGAAAAAGAATGGGAAAGATTCTTAAACTGGTCGAATGTCTAGGATATGTTGAGTTCAAATGCCATGGATATACCTGGACATTAACTTGCCCCCCTCTATATCCCAATATGTTCTAAATTACTCGTTTACTATTCTTCTTATGCTAGGATGTTTTTTTTTTTTTTTTTTTGGAAAGTCGACGAAACAAAATATCGCATTGCATTTGAGGTTATAGATAGTCGGGCCAATTTAACTTTCTTTGAGGGTCAAAACTGGGTTGAGGGAGAGCAGCTGTGGCCAGTATGAAATCTGGGCATAGATAGACCTTAGGACCCAGCAACGAACTAAAAGATGCCAAAGGAAATTGTCATGGTAAAGTGCACGGGAACATCTCTAGCCATTTTACGTTATGTATTTCAAAATTGACAGGTAGGCGGTGGGGGTCTAGTTAAAAATTATATACGACAAGGAAATGACCAGAGGGGAAGTATCCCTGAGGTGAGAGGGGTATATATTCATAACACATCATTCACGATAAAACAGGCAAAAATACCGGGGAGACAGAAACATATCCGAGGAAAGGTCAAGAAAGGAGTGGGGATAGAAGTGAGTCAAGCTGGAAGAGAGAGTTCCGAACGTGCTGTACTAGGGAAATACGAATAAATGAATGAACGAATATTGAGCTGAATGCCAGGTTGACATGATGTCTATTGGCTAGACGACAGGGATTTTGATGGGCGTGAAGTTGACTTCTTAAACAGCGTGACGGCGTCCCCAGAAACCCCGGCGACTATTATGGTACAAGTCCCTCGCTTAGTATAGATTCAAGTATTTAACCAAACAGAATGGGAATGACAGGTGATGACGGTGCAGCTTTTCATAATGAGTCCGGAAGCCGAGGTTGAAATACTTACGTACTAGGCCCTCCAGCCGCCACGGGATGGCGATCGCGCGTCCGGTGTGTAAACCATACGCCCTGAGGAACGGATTCACCTCTTAGTATCGATTGCAAGGCGGAAATACAAACGCAAGAAGAGAATTCGGGCAAAGGGATAACATACCACGATAGTAGAAACCAGCCATAAAATTGCTGAGACGAAGCTGAATGCCTCCACAGCCTTCCAACGAGAGCATACGCCGCCGTCGGTAATGTGGCCCCAATCGAAAGGCCGTCCGCAATCCATCTTCTTGAGGACGTCCACAAGGACACCAAACGCGGCAAACCATGCGAATGATAGGAGCAGATCACCTATTTTTATTCGGTCAGTGCGAAACTGCAGCATCAACCAGAACCCTCAGCAGGCGCGGGGCAGCTCAACGGCTAAAGAGTTATTATATCTGTACAGGGCCATACCTATCCACAATGTAAAGGATTGGGAGAAGGGGATGAGCCAAATTATTCCTAGCAGTATTGATATTCCTGCTACGATGATGGTATAAATCCACCGGCCGTTTGGAAAGGAATCGGCGTCGTCAAAGCGAGCTAGATCATGGCCAATGATGCCAGCCACCACCTAAATCCAGATGGCTATTGTTAAGTAAAGGAATTTCCAGGGGATGGGTGGATGTAGCCGCTGGGAATTATGGGTATTAATATGATCACTTACAGCAGCGCAGCCAATCTCTCCTATACGGAGGATGACCGAAATTAGTCGAGAAAAGATCGGCATTGTGAGAACGTGTTTTGATATCTCTTTACTCACTGAAGCGCATTATTGACTTTGCTTGTAATGGGTGTGTTTG